GATTTAATGCCACTACAGAAAGGCTTTCCAGATAACTGAATTATCTGCTACAAAAAAAATTATTTTTTGATTTTTCTTTTGTATGAAAAAGTGATACACAAAATTTCCTGTCAGATACGAGCCGAAGAGCAGTAGGTGAAACATAATACGTTATAGCTTTTGTAGAGTTGGTGTTGCTGACTGTCAGTGGAAATCAGGTAAAGAAGAGTTTTTTAAGACTAGAAGGGGAATCGTTTTCTGCTAACTTAGCCATAGTCAGCTAAGTTATGAGCTATTTGTCGGCCGCAGACGTTAAGTGATACAACAGAGTCAATAAATTACAGTTAGAAGTGCCTAAACCGTCAATAAACTATCTCCGAGACAAAAGAAAAAGGTGTATCTGAACTTACAGATTCCTTAGAATGCTTGGAATGTCATGGTGTTGAAGATGTTCCGCGTATTGTTGTTAATGCCGTGAGCAAGTTGAATCTGATGGATACAGCAGAGCGGATTGACACATGTAAAAAATCTTCGACAACTTGCAAAGGACAGATCTGTTTCAAGAAAATAAGTAGTTGCTTTACCGAGCTATTTTTATAATCTTTTCTCCGTCAGATTTTGCTATGCCAAAGTAGTCACCAACGTCTTAATCTCTTGTACAATTTGCCATCCCGTCGAAAAAGCTTTCTTTCTAGATGATAAGCGTTCTAAGAATCTTAAATCTTTCCACTAAGTGTTTTTTGGTTCTGGTCACAGGGAACTTTGCTTCAGAACAAATCGTCGAGCATGGCTGGTATTACAGCTTGAAAATTGTTGTTCTACAGAAGCCTTACAATTTCATTAGAGAAGGAAAGACAGATGCAAACCATTTGTTTTGAAGAATTAGGATTCACAAATAAAAGTTTTAAACTTTTTGTCGTAATAAAAAAATATCACAATTTTAATACAATACTAATATGCTTTTTATTTTTTGGACTGAGAATAGTTTCTTTACTTGTTCTTGAAAGGAAATCCTTAAAATAAATTTCTGTAGTCGGCAAAACATTCGATTTCATTTCAGAAAGAGAATTTGTTTTTTAATCTCAATAAAATTTTGATCTTATCAATTATAAAATGACTTTGTGACTTAATTCAACAGGATAAGCACTTGACAATATCATTACTACAAATAGTTTAATTTTGCAGGAAAATATACAATCAGTATAACAGGAGTTAATTATGAGTGGCGAAGTTGGGACAAAGGTAACTATTAGTAAACGTTCAATCACAGTGATACATAACTTTTATATGTGAAGGTGAAAAAAAATTTATTTTTCTAAATCAATTTTTACCACTTTCAAGAATCTACCAACTCTTGGGTAGTATATTTTTAATTGTAACATGAAATATCGTGTAGAAATATGACTTCTTTAACCTTGTAGGCTGTGATCCGGCAAACGTAACTGCAGATGTCGGTGAGTGCACCGTAATCGAAAATGAACATTACGTTAATGGCCTCTATTCTACTGCAGTAACCATCTGTAATTGTGATAACGGCGACACGTGCAATCGGGGCGAAACGAAGCAATTCAGCCCGTTCCTCCTTGTCGTTTTGGCAGTTCTGTGCAAAACAATTAAGTTGCAACTTCTGAATTAACATTCTACAACAGTTACATCGCCAACTAAAATCGACAAAAATTTTCCTTACTATCAAACAAAAAAAATTGTCTCTTGCTCATCCAAAAAGCCACTTTCAAACTTTAACTTCTCCTATTACAACTGATTTTGTAATGGAAAGTTGGGACATATGGTTATACACGAAGCGAAAACCAGCAAATTGGTTTCTAAAAAATTTTGATAAACGGCTAGAACTTTCTAGAAAGGTAGACGATTGTTTACCAGCTGTACTTACCATGAAAAAATGTACAAAGTTGATGATTTTCTTAACTGATGTTCTATACGCGTCTTGTGTTCATTAGTTTAAAAAATTTAAAATTGGTAATAAAGATTTTGATGTTTAAATACGCTCATAACTATGATATTTACTCTAAAAGAATGCAGAAAAGCAGCATTATTTTTTTCACTCACTTTGGCCAACTCGTTCTTGTTCAGTAACTCATCAAAGAAAGGCAAAAAATTAGAAACAAAATGTGCTCATCAATAAATACCATTTACCAGTTACTTATATGGTAGAGATGGCTAAGAAATACTTAAATTTTTTGTGGTAGAAAAAAGGCTATAATTGTTGATATATTAACAACAATGCAGGAACAATTTTGCACCAAACAATTACTCCATTTTTGTGAATGAAGCATATTTGTAGACTGTAATTCTATTAATATGCTAATTAATGTCAGTGTCGAAAAAAGGTTTGAAAAGAATTCGGTGACGTGGTGCGATTATTTTTAGACATATTTCAAGTTAATTTTTGATTTATTTTCTTCATTCTGTCATTGCCGAACCCGACTGTTGTTGACCTTTTACAGTACAGTGAGAGTCTGATATCTAAATAGAGGATTTACCAGTGTTCTTGGCAGTTTAGGAAAATATAGAATCCTAGTATATTTTTCTGTTATATTCGCATTTTGCAGAAACTATATTTTACTACATATATAAAAAGTACTACCTGAAAAAAATTTTTTTATTCCTAACTATAACATTTTCTTGGCTTTTTAAGGTGCACTTGCGAACTTCAGTGATCATTAACTTCTTAGCAAAAAGATAACGAGCTGAAATTCAAGCGGCTATAGGAAAAGTGCAATATACACTGCAGCTTGTTTGCAGGATACTTTAAATTAGAAGGAACAAACACAAGTTTGGAAAGTCTTTCTTCAGGCTGTTTGCTTAAGTAGTGGCAGCAGATTCGCGATTCTACATTGAGCGGCTCAAGGCTATTCATACAATATTTAACACATCGTCTAATTTCAGAGCCTACCTAGGCCTCTAGAGGTAAGGTTATGGTACCTTTCACATATAGGACAGACAGTGAAGGCAAAAAGTGTACTCGCATTTGGGCGATGAGCACTCGCTTTAATGCCAACTGTTCATGTATTAACTGTCAGGCAAAAAGTAAATTCTGAATCCTGAAGACCTACCAATCACTTCGGCAACGATATATGCATCTGTTGTATTGTCCAACCCGTGCAGAATTGTTTTCAACATTTGCAGCGTTAAATTACCACGTGTTGGAAGAGCGCCAAAACTATGGATGAACCATTATGCCATTAAAGGGTACTGTCCCCTATATCAAACTTTTTGTTACTTTACTTGTTTTATTCCTTCTATAATTGATAGTCAAATGGGAATTAAAGCAAAAGGCAAGTACGGTTTAAACAAAGCAAGGAAACGAAAGTTGGGGGATTCTCCTGTTGTGCCAAAGAAGCTGTCAAAGAAAAGACAACTGGAACCTGATGGTAGCTCTTATAGTCGTTTCCGAGAAAAACTAGTTTGCACCCTCTGTTGTCAATGCGTTTAATTTTGTTACTTATGGTTTGTAATGCTTAAAGTTAGGGATCAGGAGAGAGATGAGGGGACCAAAACGGTTAAATAAAACCAAGAGCTTTTGATTGTTTTGTACTCCAGACAGACCTAATTGCTCTTCCAGATGACAAGGTTGAGGACATTCAAGAGCACAAAGCACAGCTTGCTGCATTAGCCGAGAAGGACCCAAAATTTTATAAATTTTTGCAAGAAGAAGAGGCGGATTTGCTCGAGTTTGATGGATTTGAGTCTGAAAGTTCGGAAGGTATTTTACTACTACCTTGGCTAGCTTTTATTTGAAGTATAAGTTACTCTCTCCACTGTAATGAATGTTACTTATATCGCTTTAACTGTAACTCAAAAGTATATTTTTTATACTCATCTCTCTCAGGAGCCCACGAGACGCCAAATAGACCAGAACTGGAGGAGGAGGAGGAAGAGGGATTTGGCAAGAAGCCTGTGAAGTTTTTGGTTTCTAAAGATGGCCAGAAAATTGTCAGTCAGGCAGTTTCTGAGACTCTGACGGAGTCCTTTTTATCAAATGTAGTCTTTTATTTGTGTCGGACTAAATAACTTTTACTTTGCTTTATGCAGCTAACTCGTCAAATGCTCGAAGAATGTCTTGCTTTATTTTGTTTTTTTTTTCCTTGCTCAAGTGATTTTTTAACCGATTGGGCATTGTTTAGGGTCGGTTAAACCGTGGCGAAATTTCCTTAGCTGTGAATTCCTTCATCGCTTGCGTAGCTAAGGTTGGAGCTGACGTAGACTCTCCTGAGTATGTAGTCTTTGATGAAAGTGGTTAGTTTTGAAGGATATTATGAGTTTTTATAATTCATTTCTTCTACTTTTCTATGAATCTTCCTTCCAATCACCAATTCTGTATTCTTCCCCTATCTATTACTTTGTAAAGAAGGATTTTTAGCATTTGAACAGCATGTTCGGTTCTGCTTTAAGTACCTGGCAAAAGCGCTGTACGTAGCACTAGTGCCGGTTTCGAATGATGACTTGAGGGCGAAAGAACTTGACGTCGACGATGCAGGAAGTATTGAGGGCAATAGAATTGGCATGAATGAGCAAGATGTTCCACACTTCGCGAAATGGAAGAAATATCACCCTTTAATTAAAAAGTACCTTCAAGCTTTTATCTTAGTAAGTTCAATTGCTACAGAAAAGAGTAGAAGTTTTGCAGTCAAGTATATTTGTTTTTTAAGAAGCACAGGAGTGTTGAAATCTTCATGCATTTAGTTCCTAAACGAGTTACAAGTCTCCGACGTGTTGCTTTCGGCTCTCCATGCTCTGACAGAACTTGTCAGCTTGTTTTCGCTTTTCAAAAAGATCTCAAAGAATTTTATAAAGGTAACTCTTCCTTCGCAAAAGTTCTCTCACTTAATTGCTCATGGAAAATTTGAAATTACAGTTATTACTTCTCTCTTTCCATTTAATAACTTTATATTTTAAGATTCTTGTACGAATTTGGAGCAGGCGTACTGATGAATGCAGGCTTGTTGCTTTCATTATTTTGTACAAAATGGTTGTGCAGAACAAGAAATTATATACAACAATTCTAAAAGTTCGTCCTCATTTTTTATTTTTAGTCCGATTACGTTTCAAATTAAAAAGCAACTAGACTTTTTTATTAGTCACACCGTTTTAATTCAGCTCCAAATTTGTAAAGATGAGAGTAGTGCTATTTGCAGTGCTGCTACACTGCGTATGTTTCAAATGTACGCCGTATTACTCCGGAAACCCTGCCTTTAATTACTTTCATGCAAAAGTCATTCGCTGAACTCTGTAATGTATATCCTGATATTGCCTATCACTATGCTTTTGTATACATCCGCCAAATGGGGATCCATCTAAGGAATGCGATGATTGCGAAACGAAAAGTTCTTAATTGATTTGCTTCTAAAAGTATATTTTTTTTGACTACCATGATAAAGGCTATATATCTTGCAGGATTTGTTACAAACCGTGTACAACTGGCAATTTGTAATGTGTCTTTTCATGTGGGCACGTGTTATCAGTAGAGCTTATAAGGCAAGAACTACGAATGAGCACGCCGAAGCAATTGTAGAACTAGCTTACCCACTAACTCAAATATCTCTCGCGACGATTAAGTGGGAGTCTTTTTTGTCCTGTTTCATTTTTCACCAAATTTCTTTTACTTTAAGAGCTTTCATTTACAAAGTCACATTTTTCTAGAGTATTCCCGTCGTTGAAATATCTTCCTTTGCGATTGCAGTGCTTACGTGTTCTCCTTACGATTCAAGTCAATTGTAAAGTTTTCATACCGACCCTTCCGCTGGCTGTCGAAGTAGGTACTTTAGATAATCAAGCATTTGACTTTTTTCACCGTACCTGATGTCATGTAGGCCCCCATCGTAGAGGTTATAAATTTCTTTTATTTTTTGTTATTGTAGCTGCTTGATGACGCTGCGTTACTTCTGCGAAAAAAGCCCACTAAAGGCAGAGGAGCAGTTAAAGCTGTCGATTTCAATTGCATACTAAAAGTAATTATGCCGCGATCAGTTACTTTTTTGATCTTTTACGAAACTGCGTTCAGATCCTTTTTCCGTATTTTTTTGCCAAACTTTTCGACATGATCACACAAATTAAAGTCATTTTCTCTTCTTGCTTTTACGGTTTCTAATGTCCTTAAAGGTCTCAAGTGATCAGCGAGAGGAAATAGGCTTCCGACAATCCGCTCTTGAAGCTCTCTTTAGGATCCAATTAGAGGCAGCTTATGTTCTAAGAAACCACTGTGCCTTTCCGGATTTGATTCTACCCTTAAAATCTAAGGTATTTTTATAGCGACCTGGTAGCTAACCAGGAGTGTTGGATCGGGAATACTTATTGCTGGGATAACTTTCAGATAAAGAACTTTATACAGGAATGTAGGAACGCGGAGCAAGCCCGTCTGTTTAAGTCATTGAGTTCAAAGCTCAATGAACACGCCGATTACGTAGCAGACATAGTTCAGAAAACAGAGATTGACATTACAAATCGTGACTCTTTAGTAATCCTCTTCCCTTATTTATATAATTCGAATCTCTCCTATATGACTCATTCTTCAGTAGATTTTGCCTTTTTTTTTTTTACAGACGGCTCTGGCTAATGCTATTACATCTGATGACTCTCCGCTTTGTAAGTTTTACAAAACGTGGCGTAACGTTTGGGAAATCCAAAAGAGCAGTCCCACAAAGGTTGATGTCTTCAGTTTCTCATTATTTTTCTTATATTAAACAAGTTTTTGTAGCAACTAAAAAAAAGTTGCTTGATTTGGTAGAATACTTTCAAAAAACTTATCTTCAGAATCCAAAACCAAAAGTCGAGGGAATGAAGCCCGGGGTGGTCCCAAAACCGAACAAAAAGAAAGAGCCAAAGAGGACGAAGGTATTATTTTTGAAGTTATACTGGAAGGAAGTTTTGCAATTTTTTAAGTAGTACCCGCCCGCTTGACAGAGCCGCAGTGTACTACCAGTCTCTATAACATTTGGAGAACAGATGGATGTCTTACAGGTCTTGAAGGACAGGGAGGAAAGGAAGTTGAAGAAGACGTTAGGAACAGGGCTTAAAGGCGAGGTGCCCGACCGTGCGTCTGCCGAGGTGGTTGACGAATTATGCGACCTAGACATTTCGAACTTCGAGTGACAAAGACATACAACCCAATAAATAAAATTCCATTCAGTAACCCATATCATAGCTTAGAGAATTGTGTCTAGCTGCGATTAGTTCCAGCAATAAATCCATTCTTGTTCGCCGATCTTATACTTCCATTTACAACTGATCGTCATTTTTACCTTTTGCTTTCGAAGGTATTGTTCGTTTTTCCTGTATCAGGTGCTTCACTCGTTAAATGTTACTACAACGTTTGGGGAAACACGGCACACTCCCCAGTTTTAGAGACCTGAGCCAGTTATACATGTGAGACCCCTGATTGGCGCGGGACTCCAAAGAGGATGTAGAAGGTCAAGAGTGTCCAGTGAGAAATTTTCAGTGAAGTCGGCAAGAGCTGATTCAGAACTGTAGGCAGCGATGAAGTCCTAGTATTCTGTATTCGACGTAAAAGCCTTTCTTCCAAACCGGTAATGAGTCTTCTCAATTTATTTACTGTTAAAGCTACACATTAAAAAAATCAACAAAAGCTGCATAGTTTCTGAAGTAGGCGCAGTTGAACAGTGGAAGGTGGCTTTAATGTGCTGCTCGGGTTCCAGTGTGAAAGTGTTATTCTCTTTCTTAGATCTACGTCTCTTTGCAACTTTAATAATTCAAGTCTATATTTTTATTAATACAAGAACGCACTGTCTATCACTGCAGCTCCAACAGCAACTCCTCCCCTGTTTTCTGTCTCAGCTTTGCTTCTAATGATATGGCCGTGAGCAGAATTTGACAGGACTTTTAGTTCGTCCGGATTAAATGATCCATAACCGTATAAACAGCCATAAATCCCAAGTTCTCCAATTATACTCGTTAGCTTAGCTTCTTGTAGGGGCCGCACCAAAAAATTCTTAAAATAATTTGTGGATTACTTACTATTTAGAACTAGAAGGCAGCACCAAATATTTAACTTTCTAAATACGAATGAAGAAATCACACAAACACGTTATCTTTTCAGAGCCCAAAAACACCTCAAAGTGCATGTTTTTTGTTAAACAAAATTTAGCCCTCTACGGTAAAAATCCTTCAATTAAAATAAACACTTAGCACTAACTCACTGAAAGTGAGATGCAAAGTACGAACCTTGACTGCTTTTGGATAAATCCTCTCCATCAAGATATGTGCAGCCATTTCATCCGAAGTCAATTTCTTTATCATTTCAGCCACTTCTTGGCCATAATAATTTCCTGCACCACCTTCCAGCTGTGGTTTCAATACATATAACTTAGGATTAGATAGTGCTTCCTGCAGACAGTCGATTATGTAGCTTAGAAAAATTGAGTAAAAAGAGATGAACGGAAAAGTTGAGGGAAGACAAGTTGGATGATATGAAACGATTAGAAGTGCATGCGCATAATACATTGCATTTGATCTCTTGACAAAAAAACAACCTTTATTATGTCAGCAGTCGACTGCTTGTCTTTTTCTAATCCCCAAATTTTTGCGAAGGTTCTTCGTATTTTCTCGCATGCTTCTGGATCAGATGGGAAGAAACGTTCCACTTCTCCCTCCTGAGTGAGGATCTGGAATTAAGTAAAGCCATAAAAACGACAAGCATCCAACTTGAAACCTAATTCTCGTCACCGCGTAATCACGTGTCAACCTGCTGCACTTTTTTCGTATTGGCAAGCTGTAAACCTATCCAGGGGCATTTTATCGCATTGGACTTCTCCATCAGCAAACGTGCTTCCCACTCTTTCTCAGTTAGATAATGACCTGGAGTATAGCCGGCCCGAAAATAAACGATCGCAATACGTTCCTTGTCTTCCAGCAGCAGTGAATAACCATCTGGACCACCCAAGTGTAATCTAAAAAAACTTTCAGATATTAACCAAACTGGCAATTAAAATGGCAGTAAAAAATGTTAAAACTGATAACTGATGAGCAACCGTTTTGCACATTCGGTAAATGTCATCCGAATGCACTTAATACGCCTACAGCTCAGTTCATCTAAGCGGTATTCCACGTGACGCTGATCAAGCTGATTTTGATCGTTCCCTTCAACCACAAACAAAATAATAGCACTGCTGTCTTGAAAATCTTTCCTAAACTGAGAAGCACAAACTGCAGAAACCGGTAGCTCCAAATAGCATTTTGAATAAATGGAAAACTATTAATGACTACAAAAAA